CTGAATATATTTTTAACGGTGAGAATATTAACCCATGAGTTAACATTGGTAGGAAGGAGCAGGCACATTTAAGTCGATAGCATTACAATAAAAATCCTTTTAGTTCAGTATTTAATATTGTAAACATATAATCTGAAAATATAAAACATATAAAATACGGTTATAAAAAATGGTGAGATAATCCAGCTAATTCGCGCAGAAGCTTTTCAAGCGATGTCTTTAGAGACTAAAAGTTTGTATGGATAGAAATTCAACTTAAAATGTGACGTTTCAGGAACCAAAACCACTTTTCTGTTCAGTTATAAACATTCCCACCCGGATCACCCACTTCACCCTTAACTGGACCACACGGGCAAAGCAGCACTGTAGCTGGCCCTCCCTGCAGGACGGGCGACCAGATCGATGCCATGCAACCAGCTGCTTGTGCCAGGAAAGTCATAACCACATGGCCGTATTAATTACATCAAGAGGAAGTTTCCTCTGTCTGATACGCGCCGCATGGCCCTGGCAGAGCGAGGCTCTGATTCAGTCTCAGCCATCTTGTCAGCAGTAATCAAATCTCACTGTTGACAAGTACATGCTCACCAATCGATGGAGGAAAAATCATTAGCTGTGGAATTCTAATCCACTCATTTATATTGTTTCTCGCCGTTTGACATCAGGACAGCGAGTCCCCTCTCCTGTCTGTGTGCCTCTATGGAGAGGTCTTTCTTTCCATCCATCCATATTCCAGTAATTTCAGTTTATCTACTTGGATGGGATGCCAGTTCATCACAGGACATGGGGCTGGGGTACATCCTGGACGGGATGCCGGTCCGTCACAGGGCACGGGGCTGGGGTACACCCTGGACGGGATGCCAGTCCCTCACAGGGTACAGGGCTGGGGTACACCCTGGACGGGATGCCAGTCTATCACAGGGCACAGGGCTGGGGTACACCCTGGACGGGATGCCAGTCCCTCACAGGGCACAGGGCTGGGGTACACCCTGGACGGGATGCCAGTCCCTCACAGGGCACAGGGCTGGGGTACACCCTGGACAGGATGCCAGTCC